TTATTATATATTTATCATCCAACTTTCGTATCTTTATATCAATTTTAATTATTTTTAATATCTTTAATATAATTTAAGAACAAAAACTAAAATTAAAAATGCGTTATGTCACAATAACAGTAAGATGATGTAAATAAGGTAATCAAACCCTGTAATAATATAACAATGCATATTATTAGATGATTACGCGTGCGGACAGACATATCTTATATCACAATGTGTCTAACTGAAATGTTCTTAGCTACGCTTTGAACAAATAATAGTTATAAATGTTTTAATAACATAAAATATTAAAAATTATTTTTAGATAAAATCTATAGTTATAAAAAGTTTATAGTAAAATAAGAAGATGAAATATGAAATAAATTCTATCAATATTAGAATCTAATGATAAATAAATAATCATTATGATATATTATGAACATATATATTATTCTAATAATAAAAAATAAGAAATATAGGCAAAATTTGAGAAATTATCATTACGCAAAAAGAGTAATAGCTGCTCTATTATTATTAGTAAATTTTTATTAGAAAAAAATATGATTAGCTTAAATTATATATGTAACAATTTTAAAAAAATTATTTTATATTTAAAAAAGTATGTATTTATCTTTAACTAGATAAAGATCAAGAAGGTTTTTAAATAAGTGAATATTTAATAGAACAAGTTATAACAAAAACTATTTTTATTTTTGAAAAACTTTTTCTAATTTGTTATATTATTTACATTCAATAATAATTCAAATCATACGACATTTAAATTTGATGCTTTTATGGCTAGTAGAATAAACTTAAAATCTAGAGAAAAACAACTAAAATTAAGAGATACTGTTTTTAGACCAAATAATCTGCATTAATCAATGATAAATAAAAATAATAAACTAAAAAAAATAAAACAGGTTTTATTTGAATATAACTTATAGAAAAATGAATTAAATGCTAATTATTATTTATGTAAAGATAAGATAATGATGAAAATCAGATAAATTGTTGATACAATGAATTATTTTATTACAATCTAATTTTTTAGTATAAAAAAGTGTATTAAAAAAAATAATATTATAAACTATATATAAATATATTTTTTTATCCAAAGTTTTATTATGAACTTAATTATATTAAACAATATTAGAAAATGATAAAAAGATTTACTTGAGAAAACTGTAATTATTCTTGATCAGATTTAAAGTATACTTTTCTAATAGTATTAGACTCTGTAAATACAATTACAATAAGAAAGTTTACTAAGAAAGTATAATATTATAACGTTTTGTATAAAGATGGTTCCCATAATTATTTTCAAATTTTAATTGAGTTGCAACTTAATTGCGTCATAAGAAAATTTAATTGCGTCACAAGTTGCAATTCAATTGCGCTATTTTTTTTAATTGTGGTGACCATCTTTAGTTTTGTATAGAAAAGGGATTACTAGTAAACTGATAAAATATGTTGCTAAAAAATATAAATCCTATCATTATATTTCTGATTATGTATTAACAGAGTTAAATAAATAAAATAAATAATAAAATATAATGAGATTTATAAAGTCATGTAATATAAATTTATAAATTACGTAATTATCGTTATTTTGAAATTTCAGTTTATAGATGATAATCACTATAATAAGTTTAGTTAATAATATTATTTTATATAATAAAATAATATATGAAATTTAACTAATATTTCTTTTTTTTTTTTTTATTATTATTACTGGAATTTTTAGTTTTAAATAGTTTAGAATATTATTAATATTTTTATAACTATTATTTGAAAAAACATAAGAATATCTTTAATAAATATAATTAAAGGTTTAATTAAGTTTTAATAATATAACTAGTTATAATAATGTTTATTGTTATTTTATTTGATTAAAATTAATATACAAAAATTTTTGAATAACTTAAATTATTTTAAGTAAAAAAATCTTTCTTTAATTCTTTTATTAAAAATGATTAGAATATTTATATTTAATAATTATGAATTTTTATTTACTTTTATTCAAATCTTAATTATGTATCTGAACCATTTTTATTTAATATTTACTTTATAATATAGCATTCAAATACAAATTTTTAGAAATAAACTATATAATAATTTTAATTTATCTTACAAATTTAGAAAAAAAAGTTTCATATAATCATATTTAAGTTAAATTACTTGATTATATTTGATTGCCATTTTCTTCTTATAGTATAGAATGTATTTTAAATAAGAATAGTGAAAAATCCTCTGCTTAAACATTTTAATTCCGACACTATTATAGATTTAAAACTAATTTTGGCTAAATCCGAAATATAAATAAATCGAAGATCAAAAAACTAGAAATAGGCTATCTAAAAATTAATTTTTTTCGTAAAGATTAAATTCGGCTTGGCTTAATTAATTTTAATACAGATCGCTAAAGACCGGATGGATCAGACCATTGGCATAATAATAAAACCTAGTGCATTCTTTAATATGAAGCTTGTTTGTGAAATACAACTTTTAATTGGTTCAAATTGATTTCATGGAAAAGTTCACATTATTTATATTTATGTTTTGATAACAAAAAAATTCACTTCATATTTAAATTTATTATTTTTATTATTATTATTATTTTTTTAAAAAAAATTTAAAAAAAAATAAATTTTCTCATTTTTAACAAAAAAAAAGTCCTTATAAATTTTCTGATATTTTAATGAGTGCGCAACAAAACACCGCCAACTCTAGCAGCTCAAAGGGTTTACCAGCTTTACATGGTGTTAAAATCAAAGCGAGAAAGGTCCGTCCATCTACTAAATCTATTTTCCTAAACTTCACAATCTAAATCTTAAATCTTGATTGTTCTGATATTCATTGTTTCTTATCTTTTCAAACTAGGGTCAACAAAAAGCTCAAGCTAAATACGAACCTACTAGTAAATTTTTTTTTTAAAATCTTTAATAATAAGCAATGCTACATTTATTTATTTAACTAATTGACATTATATAGTTTTTAGAGATAGTATTTTAAAAACACTTTTGGAAGCTCAGCCTGGAAGCTTTGAAGAGATATCTCAGAAATTAGATTCATCTGGAAATACCCTCGAGTTTAGAAAATACGGCGAAACCTTATTCGAAATTCTTTTTACCGGTGGTGTATTAGGTAATTTATATAATGATCTATTTAATTCTAAATTACTTGAATTGATCTATTGATCCTTCGACTTTTTTTTTTTTCCTCTATTTATTTATCATTAGCCCCCGGAGGCACAATTGTTGACGATGGAGCAGAACGTAGTCCATTTTCAATTTTCACTGCCGAAGATAATATCGAAAGTATCAAAAAGCATGTTGAAGTTTTTAATAAGCTAATTCGCCGTTACAAATATTTGCAACGTAGTTTCGAAGAAACTATTAAAAATTTACTACAATATATTAACAAATGGAGCACCGAGGAAAATAATAAACTTGCCACTGCAATTGGCTTGTTTGCTTCTGGTCAAATGA